ATGGAGCGACGTCAGCTGGTGCATCATACTCAGGATCTTGGCCGTCCATTCGTGCCATGACAGCTGCACTTTCGTCATCTCCTCCAATCCCACTGCTGCCGCATTTGCCCACGACGCCCTTCTCCGTGCCCGAGGGTCTGCGCAGGCCGCCCCCCATCCAGGCTTTGGGAGCGCCTGGGAAGGCAGAGCCCGCCCTCATCCCAACAGTGTACTCAGCGACCGCGCCGTCAATTTGGGGAATGGTGGGGGGCGCGGCGCCTGCCTCCCCGGGTTCTGCGTGGTCGGGCTGCCCCCTGCCGCCCGCCTGCGCTCCAAAATCTAGACCTTCGGCCCTGAAGAGGCTGCACCCTTGTGCAGGCAACTGGCCCTCGGGCCCATCATCAGGCTCAAACTCCCCATCTCCGGTCAGGGCTTGGCTCATCAGGATGTCCTGGACCTCGCGCTGGCTCGCGACCAGCCATTCGCGGAGCTGGGTCTCGGTCTGGGTGCGGCTGTGCTCCTACAGGATGGGGTTGGGTGGCAGTCCTTCGGTAGTCAGTGGATGGGCTTCAGGCGGGAGCTGCATCCACCTGCTCACTGATCAGAGCAGCTTGGAAGGAGCAGTGCAGATCAAACGCGCCCTCTGGACCAAGGCATTCGTCGAAGAGTGCATGCAACAGCACTGCCCTTGAATCGAGACGAGCGGGCCTCGGCAAACCGGTGTGCTGACTCAGGCAGGCCCCACCCCACCCGCTCACCCCCCGGACCTCTGCCGGAGCTGCCAGGGGTGTCCTCCCGCCCCTGCTCACAGGGTGGCCGCCGTCCAGCCCGGGCGTGAGCTGAGTGCCCAGGACTGCCCCCTGCGCTGCCAGCCTCAGGAGCATGTCCTCGTCAGCGTCGTCCTCGCCAGCGTCGCCCGGCGCGCCGCGGCCGTCCTCCTCCACGTCGCTCCCCGACCCCGCCGCTCCAAGATCCCCCCCGCGGGCCTGACGCTCGGCCTGGCCCCGGGCTCCAGCTGCCGGCGGGAGCCGCGAGAAGAGGGCCGCGAGTGCCCTGGTGTCCACCAGGGCGACCCCTGCATCCCCCGGCTCGGGGGACGCAAGGCGGGCGAGGAGGGGCGAGGGGCCCGCTCCGGCCCCGCCGGCTCCCCGCAGGGCGGAGGCTCGCGCGGCGGGGCTGGCCCCCAGCGCCGACAGGTTGGCGGGCTGCGTCAGCGCGAGCAGCGCGACGCGGGCCGGCGGCGGCGGCGTCGCCAGGACCGGGGTCGCCTCCTCCGCGCCCCGAATGTCCGCCCGCTGCGCGTCCGCCACCGCCTGGAAGCCCGCGCGCGTGGCGTCCACCGCCTCGCAGAGGCTGGCGGGGTGGCGGGGCGGGGAGGACGGGGCGCGGGGCACGGCGCCGCCGCTGCGCTCGCTCTCCTCGGCCCACATGGAGGCCAGGCTCTCCACCATCCGCTTCTCGGAGGGCACCTCTGCCAGCGGTACACGCACCAGCTGGGGATGGAAGGAAGGGCGGAAGATTGGGCGCACGAGAGGGAGAACCAGGTCGCTGGAGGACGCCACCTCCTCCCATGGCCCCGTGCCACCCTTTTGCCTGACGCTCGCTCTTCCCCCTACTCACCTCGTGCCTGTTGCAGATGGCGTCCACCACGGCGTCCAGCTCCAGCTCACACACCGTCTGCCGCCGCGGCGGCTTCACCCCCGCCCAGACCCAGTCGCGGGGCGTGCTGGAGGTCGTCCACACATGGCTGGTGTCCAGGGCCATGGACACGCTGCCGCCGCAGCCGCCGGCCGCTGCAGGGAGGGACAGGAGGGCATCGTGGCATGGGTGGGTCAGGTCGCCGTCCTAGGGTTGCAACACCGTGCTCATGCGCCCGAGGCACAGTTGCCAATGGCTCCCAGGCCGACCAAGCACAGACTGCTCCGACCATCGCAGCTCACCGGCGCCGCCCACCCACCAGAAATCCCATCCCTTTCCTCCTCTCACCTGTGACAGGCTCCTCCTCATGCACGAGTTGCTGCGCCGCCCAGCCCGGGCGCTGGCGGGAGTGTGTGCTCGGCAGCGGCTCCCTGCAAGCATGACTCTCTTGCTCAGCAACAGAGTGGCAGGCCCAATTCAGATCGGGTGGGCAGACCCCTCCAAGCCCAGCCTCACCTAAACTTGGCCCGGGGTGGCGGGGCGGGGAGGACGGGGCGCGGGGCACGGCGCCGCCGCTGCGCTCGCTCTCCTCGGCCCACATGGAGGCCAGGCTCTCCACCATCCGCTTCTCGGAGGGCACCTCTGCCAGCGGTACACGCACCAGCTGGGGATGGAAGGAAGGGCGGAAGATTGGGCGCACGAGAGGGAGAACCAGGTCGCTGGAGGACGCCACCTCCTCCCATGGCCCCGTGCCACCCTTTTGCCTGACGCTCGCTCTTCCCCCTACTCACCTCGTGCCTGTTGCAGATGGCGTCCACCACGGCGTCCAGCTCCAGCTCACACACCGTCTGCCGCCGCGGCGGCTTCACCCCCGCCCAGACCCAGTCGCGGGGCGTGCTGGAGGTCGTCCACACATGGCTGGTGTCCAGGGCCATGGACACGCTGCCGCCGCAGCCGCCGGCCGCTGCAGGGAGGGACAGGAGGGCATCGTGGCATGGGTGGGTCAGGTCGCCGTCCTAGGGTTGCAACACCGTGCTCATGCGCCCGAGGCACAGTTGCCAATGGCTCCCAGGCCGACCAAGCACAGACTGCTCCGACCATCGCAGCTCACCGGCGCCGCCCACCCACCAGAAATCCCATCCCTTTCCTCCTCTCACCTGTGACAGGCTCCTCCCCGTGCACGAGTTGCTGCGCCGCCCAGCCCGGGCGCTGGCGGGAGTGTGTGCTCGGCAGCGGCTCCCTGCAAGCATGACTCTCTTGCTCAGCAACAGAGTGGCAGGCCCAATTCAGATCGGGTGGGCAGACCCCTCCAAGCCCAGCCTCACCTGAACTTGGCCCGAGACAGGACCAGGTGACCCATCCCAAAGAGGTTGAAGTCGATCTTGAACTGGAGCAGGTACGGGACGTGCGCCTCATGTGGCTGCCACACTCTGCCCAGGACGGCGCCTGTCTGCGGGACAAGGGAATGAGAGGGGGCTGTGGCCCCACATGGCCCGGCACCAGACCGCTGCACCTGCATGCAGGACGGCTGCTGCGGATGTACGGAGCACCACCCCACCTGCAGCAGGGTAGCTGCGCGCCTGACGTCCTGCGGATTGTACCTGCACGGTGAAGATGTGATTGCCACGGCAAGGCTTGGCAGACAGGGATGCCGTTGGTGGCGGAGGCAAATTTCTCTGTGTGCAGGCATGCAGCAGCCACATTCTGCCCCTCCGTGCTCAGCCTCCCGCTCCCCTCCCTCAACCAACTCACAGGGAGATCTTGACCCACGCCCTGTCCTGGGCATGGTACCCGTAAAACGCCTTGGCGGCAACCAGGGTCAGGTCAAAGATGTGCTGGCGCCTCTTCGCGGACCCCTGGTCCCCGGTGACGGCCTGCCCTCCGGCCATGGCCTGGGCGGTGGACATGCTCAGGACCGCTTCCAGCGCCATCCCCAGCCTGCGCAGCTGGGTTCCCGCTGCAGGACCAGGGCGTGTGGGAAGGGGAAGGTCTGTACTCGGGCATGCCCATGGTACAGTGCCGGGTGCTACTTGCCTGCGGGCCAGGTGGGCTGCATCATGGCAAGGACCGTTTGAAAGTCTCAAACCCTGTTCCCCACCTCCATCTGCATCCTGGGGAAGGTCTTCATGGTAGGGCACATAAAAGTAAGGGAATGCCTATGAGGAGGGTGGGAGGGCTGGCAGGTGCACACAGCTTCATAATGTCGGCAGGACGTACTTGATGCCGTGGCAACATCTTCACCTTCAGCTGGTTCCATGCCCACCTGATGAACGTGGAGGCACGCCTTCTGGCCCTGGGGTGTGGATCCGTAAATCCTCACCACCGGCACATGAGTCACAGGGCTACCCTCCAGAGATGACCAGCAGGCATCCACCTCGGGAATTGGTGGTGCCAGGTAGTACTCGATGTTCACGATCCTGAGGATCACATTGGGAGCGCCGCTGGGACCCAGCAGTGGGGACTCCATGGCTCACATCTCGCTGGCAGCAGTTCCAGCTCCGTCACGGGGATCCATAGTGCCAGGGGCCATGCCCAGACTGCAGATCAGCCTCGCAGAACATCGAGCCCATGCTGCATTAATCCAGGTACATTGATCATCCAAGGTGTAGGCTTACTGCATCGTGCCTGCCATGTGATGTCGAAGTCCGGCATGCAGAAGCTCGTGGCGCCAACCCCGGGAAACCGATCTGCGTCTAGGTGCTATCCTGCCTTTGAAAATTTGGGATGAGACGGCATCAGGTGGCGCGGAAACTCCTTTCCGATCCCTCTCACCGGAGTGTGGAGGATCGACTGGTTCCAGGAAGTGTTGGGAGTGCCCAAGCAGGCACCTGGGCTGGTGCGCGACTCGGTTGCAGACCAACTCATGCGCCCTGCGGGACAGGGTGTGGATGGTACCATCAATCCGCTCGTTGCACACGCACTTCAGTGAGGTAAGTATCCCGGCATCGTCACTGGCGATCCGTCCTGCCCGGCCTGCTCGATGCAGACTAGTCGCCGCGGGGGGATGTGCGTTCTGTACACAGACGCAGGTGTCTGTCTTAGAGTCGACGCCCCTACCATCGCGCCTGACCCACCGTTGGCCCTACTGCAGATGGATTCGAGATGGTAGAGACCAGTGCGGACCCTGCACGAGGTGCAGGGACGGAGACTGCTGCCGACGAGGCGGGGCTGGTCTGGGGCAGGCTTACAGGCTACCCTCCATGGCCGGTGCGTGTTCTGCCAACCGGGGCTGGGGTGTGTGGAAGGGGACTGCCCCCTCATTCTCAAGATGCAATGCCAGTCCACTCGCCCCACCGCAGGCTCAGGTTCTCCCAGCGACGGCTGCGGCAGCTCACAGAGGACTACAGGCCACAAAGCGGGTGCCTCAGCAAACCACGGCCGTGATGTTTTTTGGTGACTACACCGCGGCATGGTGAGTGGGTGGGTAGGGGCAAGGGGTTTTTGTTGTGTTGGGAGTTGATGAGCCCCCAGGGATCGCTCGAGTGATGGCAGGTGCCTGTCTCTGGGCCTGGTATTGTGTCAGGTCTTTTCTCCTATTGGCCGCCATTGGCAACCCATGCCAGCTTCTTACCACACCAAAACCCTCTATCTCAACAGGCTGGCTGGCTCGCAAGTCCAACGATGGCATGAAGGCCTCACCGCCACCGCCAGCAAAGCTAGCAAGAACAAGAAGCTGGCCGCCGCCCTTGCCGAGGTGCTACCCTGTGCTCCTGTGCGGTCTGGTGCTGGGGTTGGCACCCCAGTGCATGTCATGGGTTTGGTCGCTCCCTGCAGTGTACCTGTATGCCTGATGGATCGGGTTCCTTTCTCTGCCATTCACAGGCACAATTGTTTGTGAAACACGGGCGTGCGCCAAAGGGCTGGTGGACTGAGACGCTGGTGGGCAGGAATGTCTGCAAGGCAAGCAGCGAGGCGCAGGCCTCTCCTGGCAAGCCTGGAGGTCCAAGCAAGCAGCGGAAGCAGACCGCGCCATCCGTATCGTTGCACACGCTTGCGGTGGTCCCTCGGCGTGTGAAGAAGGAAGGTGTGAGTCCCGTGGATCATGCTGGAGGCTCAGCCCCTGCCGTCGCATCCATTCAAGGTATGATGGAAAAGTGCTTTGGGAGTTTGCTTTGACACTGCGGTAGCCCTGCCCCTGCAATTCCTCCATACTGCATGTATTTGCACATCAGCATTTCACTAGGACCTCCTCAGATGGCCTCTCGGTTCAAACCCCCTTCAACCCCGTCACTGTCGTTACTCCCAGCCCCCACGCGGGTCGACGCTCCCGTGTTTGACGTCATCGACGGCCGCCTGGTGACCAAGGCCGGCCTGCCCCTGCTGACTCTCAAGCGGCGGGCGGGGGCGGCCGCGCTCACCGGCAAGGACGCCCTGCCTTCCTACCTGCACCTCCGGTCCAATGCCTACCACACCCCCGCCCTGAAGCCGCGCCGGCTGCCGCCAGACCAGGTGGACGTCTGCAGCTGCCAGCCCGTGGCCCGGCTTCCGCGCCGTGCCGCCCTGGCGGACGACATGCCGGCAGCCGCGGTCGCGGCGGCCGTCACGGCCGCCGCGCTGGCGCCGCACTTGGGCTCCCCGCCGCCCAGCCGCCGCGGCGGCTGCGGCCCGGATTGCCTGAACCGCCTGTCCCTCACCCTGTGCGACCCGGGCACCTGCCCGGCGGGGGAGTCGTGCGGCAATCGCGCTTTCCACCTGCTCCCCGCGCCGCGCCTGGAGGTCTTCCTCACCGACGGCAAGGGCTGGGGCGTGCGCTGCGCCGACGCCCTGGCGCCCGGCACCTTCTTGGCCGAGTACGCGGGCGAGGTGGTGGACGCGGGCGAGGCGCGGCGGCGCGCGGCCGCCGCGCGGGACGCCGGCGCGCCACACTTTTACATGATGGAGGCTGAGGCGGACCGCGTCATCGACGCCGGGCCCAAGGGCAACGTGGCGCGCCTGCTGAACAGCTCCTGCGATCCCAACTGCGTGGCGCAGAAGTGGCGCGACGCCGCCACGGGCGAGGTGCGGCGGGGTGTGGGGGGCTGGACTTGGGCCTCACCTTGGCGGGGTGAGGAGGGGTGGGCCGGCATGACTGAGTCGAGGGAGGCTGCCAAGGGACTGCAGTGTATCTCTGTCACCCTGCTGCCAGGCAGTCTGACGGGGGCAGGAACAAATCGCTCAGGCGGGGGGGTTTCTCTGACACATTCTAATAATCCACCCAAGCCACACTCACACACTCACAAGCTCACACAACCATGTCCCCCACGTCCCCGCAGATGCGTGTGGGGCTGTTCACCGCCCGCCAAGTCCCGGCGGGCGAGGAGCTGGTGTACAACTACAACTTCCAGCAGTTCCAGGGTGGGACGGAGCGAGGGGAGTACGCCTGCCGCTGCGGCGCCCCCAACTGCAAGGGCTCCATGGACCTGCGGGCTCTGGCACGCGACCCTGGCGCGAGGGAGTCCGGGGCTGCTGGCGAGCGGGGAGGGGCCGAGGGAGAGATGCAATCCCCTGCCGGCCGCCGTGCCGGCGCCAAGGAGGCCGCGGCGGTCGCGCCCAGGCCCGCCAAGCGGAGGCGCGGGCCCAGCCGCCCGAGGAAGCGGCCGTCGTCTCCGAGTCGCAAGGAGAACGAGCCTGGCGGCCTCCCGGCAGCCGTCAGTCTGCCACCAGCGCCAGGTGGCGGCCTGGAGGTCGGAGCCGGGACCCTCTGCGCCCCGCCGGCGGCAGGACCCTTGCACGCGGTGCCCGGCACGCCGGCCGAGGCGTCGCCGCGCTCGGGAGCGAGGCTCTGTAGCCAGGCCCGCTCGCCCCTGCTCCCCCGCTCCATGCTCGCCGCGGCTCCCACCTCAGACCTCCCCGCGGCGGCGCGGAAGCTCTCGACCCTGGCCGCGCGGCGGCCCGCCGTCCGGGCTTGGCGAGCGGCAGTTGGGACTTGGGGCGCGCCCCTCGGGCCCTCCATCCTGATGACTCCTGTTGATTGGCTGCAGGGCGGGGACCTGGGGCTCGTTATTGACGCAGCAGGGCCCCCCGTGGCCCTTGCCGCCGGCTTCTTGCCCCGTAGCCCCTGCTCCCGGCGCCCGCCGCCACTGCGCCCAGGCTCGGCGATGCACGCGCTGTGCGGCCGAGGGGCAAGGCAGGGCACCGGCGCCTGCCGCAGGCACGTGCTGCGCCTGTGCGCAGCGCCCCACCCCGCCGCCCACGCACGCCCTGCCGCCGGCGGGCCGTCCATCTCCGCGAGGCCCTCCGAACCCACGCGCCAGTCAGCACCGAGCCCCAGCGCCGACAGGCAGGCCCAGGAGCCCGACCCCCAGGTCCCCCAATCCGGGGGCCGAGGCCGTGGCGGGACGCTTCCATGGCAACGGTGCGGTTTCGTGGGACGGGTGTTGCTGTTGCCGGCGGGCCGAAGCAGCCTCTTAAACTCCTGGCGGCTTGCTGGGGGGGGGTCCAGGACACGCGTCAGCTCACCGCCTCCCACCCACCCACCCACCCTACCGCTCTACAGGGGCCCCGCCGCGCAGTGCCTCGGCCTCGGTTGGCGAGGCCCCCGCCGCCGCGGCACGCCCCTCACGCCGGGTGCGCAAGCCCAGGCGGCGCTTCGGGGAGTCGGACGGCGAGGCCTCCGACGCGGTGGGTGTGGGGGGTGGGAGGTGGGGGTCGCGAGAGCGTCAGGTCCTGGGATGGGCTCGGCAGGCTCACCTCAGCGACCTGTGTTGTGCGTCTGCCTCGTGCTCATGCATCCCCTTCACCTCCGCTCCCCCTCCCCCAACAAATTTTCTTTGTCATCATCCCAGGACCAGCGGCTGGAGGAAGGGGAGGGCACGCCGCCCCGCGCCGCGGCCCCTGCCACGGCCCCCTCCCCCGGCATGAGCCCGGCGACGCAGGCCGCCGCGACCATCGCCTCGCTGCTGGGAGGTCCCGAGGCAGCCCCAGCGCAGCGCCACCGCGAGCGCGGCGCCGCGCCGCCCGCCCCCGTCCC